AATCAGAATTATCATTTGTGTAATAACGTGATGACATAAACTTAGATGATTCCGATATTGATCATATAATTATTTTGAAATTCCAATTGTCATGGAGAAAAGCACCCTTAATCATAATTGTCAATCCGCAGTCTGACACTGAACTATCTTTTCCTCGCCGCGTACAATTACCGCTAAGTCATATAGACACATGCTAATACACAAATCTCAAATTAATTAATTTTTCATTAATTATTATAAAGAAGTAGTAATATGCAACAAGACTTTTTTTATTCAGTTTAATCCGTTCTATCTGTCCATGAGAAATAGTAATTATCAGATACTCTACATTAGCACATAAATTACGTAAATACACAAATATACGTAAATATATGTTAAATATATAAATTACATAATTTAAACAGCAGAGATGTATGTTATTCATGCAGCAGACAAATACGTTATCGCATTAGAAACTTTCTGAATCATTTTTCTCGTCGACATCCAAATCTCAGACAAACTGAATTTATTGTAACATATCATGTAAATGGATAATAATGTGTTTCAGTGTACCATCTATACAATGAAAAGAAAAATTTTTTTAACACTAAATACGAATCCGGTTTTCAAATTGCTTTATCATGTTACAATGTTGAGAAAGTTGTACGAAAGATTATTTTCATATACTTTGTCATATTACAACTATAATATGTGACGTGCTGGAGAATTTATTGGAATTAAAATTAAGTAGACAGTTAAGACTTTTAATTCATAAACAATTTTTTAATGTCAGTTATGATTAATAAAATGTTCATTGTTAAATATGATCATTGATAATTTACAGATTTACTTATAAGGACTTTCCCAATTATGTTTATTTAAATTTAAGGATTTTTTTAGACAAATCCTTTAATACAAATCCAATGTCAAAATTTACAAATTCAAAATCATGAAAAATTTCTATACATAAATTTTTGCAATAATCCAAATATTTTTCAAATTTTGACATCCAAATATTTTTTAAATTTTGACATCCAAATATTAAATCCAATATTTTGAATTTGTTCATTTTGACACGTCAATACATATCAAGTGATCTAAAAAATCCCTAAGTTTAAATAAACATAATCGAAAGCTATTTGGTAAATCGTTAATAATCTAATTTACAGCTCTTTCACTTAGATTTAACCATGAATACTTTATTAATCATAAAGTCAACATTAAAATCCTTTAAAGGCTAAAAGGATCAACAACATATTTAATTTTGATTACAATAAAACTTTTCCAGTATGTCGTAGTTAAAATGTACTTATATCGTAATTAAAATATGATTTAATATGTAAAAATAAATAGTGTAATTGCTCACATGTTTTGTAATAACTAACAATCTACTTTTTACAACTACTACTATTTCATTTAAAAATAGTATTTACTTGTTATTATAAATTATGACAACTTAGATAATACTGCTATGATGATAACTGACGAAGTAAACTCTAAATCTAATACGTGTTTCTATTATTTCTTTTTATAATATATGCGACAATTATGACGATTGACTTAGATATGAACCTTACTTTAACTTATTATAATATTGTAAATAAAAAAATTAAATTTAAAATTTATTATTGCAGATAAATTTTTGGTTTATTAGAGTTAATTATTATGTAAAAGTTATTATAATAAATATATATTTAATAAATATATATTAAATAAGAAATATATATTATCATCATCGTTGTATAAATATTATATTCGTTATATTATATAGTTATTTATATATATATATATATATATATATATTTATATATCTCTCTTTCTAAATATCATACTCGTTATGATAAATATGTATTTATTATATATAAACTTGTAATTATCAACATATTTAAAGTGAATCATTAAAATAGATTTCAATATATTGTAAACGCTATTTAATATGAACAATTGTTATTAACAATTTGTTATTAACAATTCTAGATTTAAAACATATTACTCGTAATAAAATAAAACGCTACGAATTAATTCCAACACCTAATATATCTATTAAGCTACACTTCAAAATCTACATAAATAAGTAACTTTTCTATTTCTAGAAATATTATTAAATTTATTTTTTTTAAAGATACAATTTTTTATTTTAATTCTTTATAAATAAATTTTAAATTTGAAATTGAATTATGGTTTCACTATTGTTGTAATTAAAAACTTACGACTTTGTATAAATTATACATAAAATGTACATAAATTATAAGATTATTTAAATTAAAATCCCTTCTTTATTAGAAAAAATAATTAAACAAAAAAATTTTTACTCAATACCATATCCATTACAATCTCCGAATACAAGGAATCTCAAACATAAGTAATGCTGTAAAAAGTTTTGATATTTTAGCAATTAATTTTCGCGTTTTATACAATTATTTTAATCAACAAAATTTCTTCCAGATTTACATCTAGCTAAATTTTTAGATACTTTAATAAAACAGTCCTTTCCGTGTGTTACAAGAAGATTAAGAACTATGGCCAACAAAATTAACGCAACATCTGTTTCACTCAAAAATAGACAAATTTCAAGATAAAGAATAACTTTGTCAAAAATCGTCGAATCGGGATGTTTAAAAAAGCATTTTACAGGTTGAAACCTCTACTTTTCAAATCGCTGCTTTAAAAAACTCAGGTCTCATGGAGATTTGATGAAGTTACACAAATATAAATGAAGATATATCAGATTAATGATATTAGATTATTACACTATAGTTGTTTATTATAATTTTTATGTACAAAAACATTTCATTTTTATTACTTGTCATTAATTATGAATTATCATGATAATAATTACATACAAATAGATACATCTGTCCCTCTCTTCAAACTTGGAGAATATTTTCAATCAACGATTTAATAGAAATTTACTTGCGTACTCGTTCTGCTGCAGCGCATCATAATGTAAACGGACAAGCGATTCATTACATGCAATGAATAAAATAGTAAGCAATACATGTCTTACATTAAAAAGTATATGGTTTTGTTAATTGCCAAAATACATGCGATGTGTTTACAGATATTGTTTAATATAAATTTACAAACTTTTTAAAAATCAAGAAAGGTTACACATATTTAAAACATTTTTATTATTATTTTCTATAATGATTTTAACCACTTTTCATCAACTGATTCATCTTATTATTCTGTTCGTAAAAGTATTAAGGTACGATTATCAAAAAGTTAATAGTTTACGAGTTATTTAACATTTTATATCAATATGTGCCAGAATAAAATGTGTAAAATATCTCGTCAACTATTGATTTTTTAATACTATTATCTTAATATTTTTATATGCAGAATAATTAAAAGAATTATATTATATAAAAAAAAATCATACAATTTAATTTTAGAAAATGGAAGTAACCTTCATATCTTTTTGACGCTTTCATTTAAAAAAAACCAACATGACCAAAATACATCCCCCTCGAAACTCTTCCACTTTCATTTGAAACATTTTTTTATATCATCAAAAGAAGCGAGATATTCAGATGATCGATTTAAATAGACCACTCTGTATACAATAACTGTTAACCCGAGAATAGGAATTGCCGGTGTGAAGTTGACATCCCATTTTCCGAAAAATCCGATATTTTATACGCAATTCCGTTTGCACCTACAATAATTCTACAGTTCCTGTTAGATTTTAACAATTGTTTCGCTGATTTATCTACAAAAAAATTTTTTTTAATGGGATGCTAACTTCGCGTGACTCAAGTATCGCAAAAATTAATTTTTATCACGAAGTTCTATCTTTCGAAAAGTTCTATAGTTCCTGATAAGTTTTAACAATAGCTCAGGTCTTTAAATATTTTTAAATAAATATTTAATCTGACGGTTAACACCCCAAATTTCAAAAAAATTTATTTTCATCACAAAATTCTCTTGTCTCAAAGAATTCTTCACTTCCTGAGGTTTTAGCGGCAGTTCCAGCCTTAAAGAATTTTTAAACAATTTTTCAATGTGAGCGCTGGCACTTCACTACAAGAGTAAAGTATAACGTAACAGTCAATTTTTATCGACTTTTTGCTATTTTTCTATAATTCTGTAATAGTTCCAATAGGATAGCTTTCGATAGGTTTTACTCAAAGTTCTTGTCCTTAAGTATTATTAAATAATTTTTTAATCTGACTGCTGATAGTATGTTTTTGATAAATATGCGACAGTTCGCTTTATGGCAATCCTTGATAGTTTTCACAGTAACTGTAAGTCGATCTTTACATGCAGAAAGAGGAACAACGTTCACTCACCTATACTACAAGAGACTGTATCAGCCCATGTTATATATATAATTTGTTGCAGCAGCTAATTATGAGTATATTTATATGTATAAATTATGCTACAAAAAATAAATCAAAAGAGAAAGATAATAAAAGTAGACTATAGAAAATGTTTTATTTTTATTTTTAAGGGCGGAATATAATAATTTATTTTTAAAAGAACTTAAAATTTCACGAATTATTAATTGAATTAATTTTAAAATGTAAAAGAATAGGTAACTCATATATTTTAGAGAAGTGCGAAAATAATGAGGAATATACGTACATAGATCTATGCCGTTCAAATATTTTTCCTATAAAAAGCGTAAAGTTAGCAATATATTGATAGATAAGTTATACAATTAGAATCATTTTTATATATTCTTCTTTCTTTTCTTTAAATACTATCCATAGAAAAGGGAAGAAATATCATAGAAAGAAAGGAAGAAAGTATATGTATATATAGTTTTCTCTTTTCAATCAATATTGCTTAGAGAAAAAGAAAGGACAATACATCGATGGCACTCTTTGTCGCACTTTCTTTGTCAACTAGTTATTCTCACGCTAGATGTCGGATGCTTGATCTTCAGGTATACACGTTCTTGTGCAGAAAAATACTTGTATTAACCATTTTTACGATTTTTGAAAAACAGTGATTCTTATAAAAATCTGCAATATCTTTTTAAGATTTGTAAACAATCTTTCAATCTCTTAGTGCCAGTTTGTGAAACTCTTGTATCTTCACTGCAAGAATTTATATAGGTTAAATTAAATGTACAGGTTAGTTAAATTCCTTTTCAACGAGTTTCTATTTTTTCATAAAATATTATAAAACGTGTTTTAACATTTTTATATTGGAACTCTATTCTGTCTCCCAAAAGTAAATTATTTTAATACGGGCAACCATATATGTAAGTATATGAATTGTATCACATGTGACTGTGCAATTATTTTCATTTAGCTCGATGTTCAACTCTCAGCATTACTCAGTGTGTCCAAAGAAATGCGTAACCTTTCTGTGTAACATTCCTTGATGTGACAACAGAATATCATCTTCGCATGTGAACCGAGCCATCGAAATGCTCGCGACTCGAGATTTAATTTGATAAACACGCGGTACATACAGACCAATATAGACCAAACCACGTGGCTCGTTATGTTCGCCATGCTCACCACGTGCTCTAGAGCCGAGGTAATTCGTTATTGCTCGCAGCAGTCGTAACTCATGGCTTGCGATTCGTGGCTCATTATTCCCATTCATTATCGATAAGTAGGACGCGAATCAAAATGCTTGTCAAACCACAAATCAATGAGTCGCGCCATTGGATCATAGGTCAATGTTTCTTATCCATACTGTTCACTTCTCCATAGAAAAAATGTTTTTGCTGAACTATCTAAAAATTTAGCTAAATACAGATGTAAAAATAATTTTGTTGAACCATCTAAATAATTATGTAGGACACTCAGACTCACTGGTTGATCGAATGTCAAAATGTTTTGCAGTATTGCTCGTCATGTTTGAGATTTGTAATTATTTTAACTATGTGTTATTAGTTCAACAAAATTATTTTCAGATCTGTATCTAGTTAAATTTTTAGATATTTCAGCAAAATTATTCTTTTCGTGTTCATATTTTTTAAACTGTTATGTTTACAACAATAAATGATACGACGTGGAATCTAATTGATTCGTTGTAACTCGGTTGCTTATCAATCTAAGTCGAATTTATTTTGAAATTATCATAATTGTTTATTTGACAAGCCACGACGAGTCACGGACCGTGGCTTATAAATGTAGATATACGTTTAACTCGTAATCAAGATTTGATTTTACGTGTCGCTTAATTTTCTTTCGAAAAAGAGAGCAAGTTTAATTCAATGACGCAAAAGCTAACTGATAGGTAAATATAGTTTCATGTAAAGTTCAACTACATGCAAATAACATCAAATGATGCTAAAGATATATGATTCTTACGAACAAAGCTTTTAGTAACTTGATATCGAATCATATAATAGGAATGTACAAATAAAACAATACTTTATTTGATATACATGTGAAGTTGTCTTATTTGAAATTAATTTTTATATCTCATCAAGCAAATAATATCTTAATGTATCAGTTATCATATCGAATTTTTCTTTAACTTTCCATCTTTGAATATTATTATATTTGTTATTAATTAATATTAAATTACTAATTATACGTACACGGTACAATTTATCCAATTGAATTTTTATAGAAAGATTAATTCAGACCTCATGAAAATTAATAATCATCATTTGTATGTTATTCTTTGCATATTAACTTATATTTCGTGATTATCTATTGTAATTTTTTTTGCATAAAATTTTGTTAATCAATTATCAAGCGTATACAAAGAAATTGGTGATAGAATTGAGTATAAAAATATAATTCTGTCCTCTTCATGAAATTAATATTAATTAATAATTAATTACGTTGTAAATATTTAGAACATGCAGTAATGCTATATTGATCATATCATAGATTCAACTATAAGATATTCCAAAAAATATATTTCTACGATGTATATTAGACGAAATCGAAGTTATCTTTTAGCTTTCATAATCTTGTCAAATAATGTATAAATCTCTTCAATCTGATCTTGTATGAACTTCTTTTTATCTCTTTACCATCTTGAATAAGATATAAACTGTTGAACAACGTATATTTTCCATGATTCAAACATCCAAAATAAACATATCATTAATTTTAGAGGTTACTAGTTTCAGACGATACGACAATACGACATACAGCAAGATATTAATTATTTCCAAAATTACTTAAATAAAGAAAAGTAATTCTGCCTATTTAAATAAAGGAAAGAATATTTCACATTATGACACTATCACCGTCGTTATGGACCACCGACTACACTACTTTAATTTTTGGTAAAGAAATTTATATTAAGAAAATAATGTTTTTTTTATTTGTTTATTTTTATTATTCTCTTAAGCATGTAAACTTTAAACATAACAAATAGTACCGAGACATTGCCTTGTCTCCAGGTCTCTAAGTATACCATCTATATAGTATCTTTGAATAATGAAATTGTAAGGAATATATGCACATAAAGAAATAATGAAACATAGCTAATTGATATATGTATAATATATATTAAATGTAACTAATATTGAAACATCTTTTAAAAAGAGTAGAATATACAAGATGTGATTTTGTAAGCTATTATGTATAAAATATCGAATAGTATAAAATGAAAATGTAGATAGAATTAAATTCTTCTTTTCATTTTATTTGTTATTAATTCAAAAATTAATTGTAATTTACTTATAACAAGTTAAAATAACAAGTTCAATGTATTAAATTATCTTTTCTATTTCACTTTTATTAAATAATTAACAAAAATACAGTAATAAGAATCTTATGGAAAATTTTATTATAAATCAGACTAATGTAACTTTATTTGCAATCAACAGATTTTCTCCAAAACAAAAATTTTTATATTTAACAAAATTAATTCTTTAATATATGATGAATAGTTACAAAATCTATAATACTAATAATGACATACATAATTATTATTTATATATATATTACAAACATAATTATTTATTAATTGCCATTTCTTTTCTAGATTATGTAACAGAAAACGTGACATCACAATTAACAAATACTGTAACAGAAAATGTGACACCACTATTAAGGAACACTACATATAGAAAAAATAAAATAGAAGAATACCAAGTCTGGAATACTGAATTTGTAAATTATTCGATATCGCACTGGCCTAATTATTTATGGTTTGCTGCTGGTTTAGGAACTGGAATATTCATAATGTTAATTATAAATTTCATTTTATATTGCCAAGTCTGGTAAATACAATTTTTTTACTATAATTTTATGCTTATAATTTTTATAATTGATTAATAAAATATTAGGTGTTGGAATTAATTCGTAGCGTTTTACAAGTGATGGGAAGTACTTTCATTAATGTATTTTTTAATGCTCATGTGAAATAAATAACATTCTTTCATTAAAAACGCTACGAATTAATTCCAACACCTAATATAATTACTTAATAAAAAGTTTATTGAAAAGAAAAGTGAAAATATAAAATAATATTGCACTAAAAATAATATTAAATTTTTGCTGAAAAATATCTTAGAAATATAATACACCCAATTTTTACAATATGTCATATATAAATGAATTGTACTGAACTAGAAATATCTTTTTACAATTTCTTTCATTATTCTACCTATGAAAGCATTAAGAAAATTATAAGAAGTAATAACTTAAAAGATATTCCATATTTGACTTCATATTTGGTAAAATGTTTCGACATAAAATATACGAAATATCACGTGAAATATTTTCTATAGTAGTATTTTAATATTTAAGTAGTACAAAATAATAAAAATACATCTCTACTAATGTAAATAAAATACATGATTACAGTTAAAAAAAGAATATACAAGATTTTGAAAATCTTTTCTATTTTATCATTTCTTTCAAATAAACAGTACAGCTACGAACTGATATATCATTAATTATATTTTTTCAATTATGTGTTTTCAATTATGTGTTTTCAATTATGTGTTTTCAATTACTGCAATGATTTGTTTGCTATTTTTTAATTATTAGAGTCTTCATAACACATAAAATAAAAAATATTTAATTTAATTAGGTGTCCTAATTTTCATATCTTAAGACGCATTCGGATCTTCTTTAGAATCCTTTGGCACCGTTTCATCGTTTGGTATCGTCACGTTTGTCTTGGTAGAAACGAATATTTTATTTCGACTCCCGAGCAAAATAACAGAGTTATCAAAGAACAACACGAAATAAACGTGAGTGCAAAACATGTAATGCGTAAAGTATATATATTAATTTAAATAATTTTGTGTATATATATTTTAAAAATTTTCAATATATACTACATCATCGGATAGTTTATTACTTTTCTATGTACAATTTTTATATTATATAATTCTCGTTATGTTTTAATTGCGTTATTGTGAGTTTTATTTTAATTTTGCCTTTATATTATACCACGAAAAAAGTCGGAAGAAAATATTTAGCGCCGTACAATATTTTTATCAATCGTTAAATTATAATATATATAATGGCAACAACATCTACCTTACTTTTAGTATTAGCCTTACTATTTTTATTTGATATTGTAAAACCTTCCAACTTTCCTTGCTTCTTTATAATTACTAGTTACTCATATAAATTATTATAACAATCTCTTCGCAGTTCCAATCGCTTCCGCGCGTCTCACTATTGCGATTCACAAATCAGCCGCGATTTTTACAACAGTCACAGCCATATTGTTCACGATTGCTACAACTCAATAATCTCACAAATCAATCGCAATCTTCATCACAACAGTCACAATGGAATACTAGGTTGCCTACAGTCTCACGGCAATCTTATATCCCACAGCAATTACCATCCAGTTCAGATTCAAATCGATTATTAGGTCAATATCAAGTTTAATTTTTTTATGCACACTACTTTCAGAGGTATTAATATCTGTATACAACATGTTGCTTTTCAATTTAATCTTCCTAATATTATCTTATATCGTAGTTTCTCTAATTTTTTTATTTGTATAAATATTGTATAATTATTAGTTATGCAAAAATTGTTATTAATAATCGATTCTTTGATTCTAGTTTCCCCAGTTAGAAACAGCCCTGCAACCATCGAAAATTCCCGAATTACTGCAGTAATACATACAACTGCCATAACAACCATGATTGCCACATCAACTATGGCGCCTGGACGAATGACTTCTTTTGCTATATAGTAAAAAATTTTGCGTTAAATTTAATTGGGACATTTCATATATTCCAAACGGTCCACCCAAATTTTTGTGTTAATTTAACATAAGATGAATATGTAAGAAAGTAACACAAATATTATGTAAAAAATGAATACAAGAAGCTTAATACTTTAACAATAAAAATAAATTAACTTAACTTAAATACTTAACAGTAAAAGCAAATTTTGTACTAAATTAACATTTATAATATTAAATTTAGCTGAAATTAGATGCTATTTTTGCATTTTTAATTTAGGCAAGGCCTCTGTGACATTTAACATATGTAATACATAGATGTAACAGATATTTACAAAGAGAAAAAAATATTTGTACCTTTTTACATATTAAACTTAATAATTATGTAACTAGCTGTACAGAACATATTTCTTCAATAAAATTAACATTTATAATACATTAAATTAACACACGCATTTTATTCATTTGGAATTTATGTTTTAAAACTATATTATTTTTATGTTATTCGTTTATTTATTTATAAATTGTGTTATTTTAATACTGAGAAATGTTAAATTTTAATTTAACACAAAATATTCAAATAACACAATCACATTATGTTAAGTTAACTCGGATATGTTAAAAATTCAACACAAAGTTTTAATAAGAATTCGTTTTAACATAAATACAAAATATTTTTTACCGTATACATTAGTATAAAGTTCAATTTTTAATTGTGCTATCATTAAAACACATTAATATTTACATATTGGTTTTAAAACTGATTCTTTTATTAGCATTATACATCACAAGATCTTCTAACCTTCTTCATTTTCCTTAATTTTTATTAATTATAAAATTTATATACATATATATTAATATTATCAATAATTTTCTTTTTACAGATATCCTGCAACTCGTACAAATCCGCATGAATTCCGTTTAAATGTTAAATGATTATATTATTATACATGATAAACTGTCTCATTAATTTTCAAAACTGTTGTGACGACTGATTATGAAATATTCTAATCTAGAGAAAATAAGTTTCACATATAATTTACATATAATTTTATTAAAAATATAGTATTTCTTATTAAATTAATTATATAATAATAACAGAAATCTTGACAATTTCTCTAATGACTCTCCAATAATAAAACGGACAGATGAGAGTATAACGCAGCTGTTAGAACGTGATCAAAAAATAATGTTAATCAGTGCAGATCTTGATAGCGTGTATTTCCATACAGACGAATGTTTCGACTCTTTTTGGAGTCATTATCAGCGTTAATACAGTTCTTAGAACATATGCGACATCGCTCATGTATCAATAGCAGCCACTATAGAATTGAAAGATCCAAAGTGAGATGCATGAATTTCCTTGCAAATTTACACAATTCATTTCATTTGATGCTGAGAGATGTGATTATAGGTACAAGAACAAATGATATCAAGATCTGTACTGATTAACATTATTTTTTTATCACGCTCCAACAATTGCTGCGTTGTACTCTCATCTGCCTGTTTTCCCAGGAATTTAAATGTATAATGTAACAATGGAAGAAATTAGTAAACTAATTAGAGCCCGGATTATCGATAGTCGACCCACGCAGATATATCAAATCGAGTCGACTGTAACGCGTTTCTCATGACTCTTCTCGCTGCCACTCATTCGAAGCCGAAATGAACGATGGAATCAAGGCAGTGGAAGATGAGGTATAGTGAGGAGAAGTAGCTACGATTAACGCTAATCTCAGAACTTTAATCCGGGCTCTAACTTGTAGTGTTATATATCTATTATAAATTTAACAATTTAATATTAAATATAATTTAATATTAAATAGGATTAATATTAATTAATATATTAATTTATATGATTAATAAAGGAAAATCAACATATAAATTAATTTTCAAGAGATTTAGATAATAACATTCATTATATAAAATAGATTACAAGTAATTAAAATAATTGCAATAATAAAAGTGTAGTTTAGAATTAAATATTAGGCATGGATTGGATCATAAAATTACTGAATACCGGATATCAAATATCCGGACATTTTCCGGATCGGATTCCGAGAAAGTGTCTTCTAAAAAAAAAAGAGCCTTTCTAGAGAAAAAGATTGTAATTTTGCAACAATATATAAGATATTATAGCATGTGAACATGCATACAATTGTTTCTAGAACATTTGTATAAGAAAAAATCAACAATTTAATAATATCAAATTTCAACCGGATATTCTTGGATTCTAATGGTATCCGATTATCCAGTCGGATAGTGAAAAGTGCCGGATAATACGGAATACCGGATATTTCCAGATATTCAATGCATTTCTATTAAATATTCTAGATTAAAATTTTAGATATTAACACACACACCTCACACACCCACAACTTAATATTCTTCATAATAATAATTGTAAAATTTTAATATAAAAAAATAATAAAAGATGAGATTGCTTTATTCATTATTTTATGATTTCGCGATTTAGAAGAAAATTTTAATATATATATTTGTAAAATTTTTAATATGTATGTTTGAAAATTTATTGTTAAATTTATTGTTAAATTTATAAAAGTAATGCACAAATTAAATGTTACATTATAATAATAAATCATAATATATATAATTAATTAATGACACATCCTAAAAATAAATAATTTTCGATCAATAATTAAGCTGCACTTTATTTCATATAAATGATTTTTTAAATCACTTTAAAATTTTAATTAAAATCAAATCATTGTTTTTGTTAAATTAAATTATTTATAAATATATACAAGACATATATATTTTCTTAAAAATAGAAATTTCAGCTAGGTAATGCACAATTGTAGAATAGAATTTTTCTTCAAATAAAATTTTATCAATAAAACAAAATTAAAAAATTATTAAGAGAAATAAAACATTATATAAAAAAAAAAAAAATAAAATGAAATTCTTAACTATATATTGTGTATATATATTAGGTGTTGGAATTAATTCGTAGCGTTTTTTAATGAAAGAATGTTATTTATTTCACATGAGCATTAAAAAATACATTAATGAAAGTACTTCCCAAAACGCTACGAATTAATTCCAACACCTAATATATATATATACACTTACATACATACATATATAAGAGCAGACATTTCTTTTTTAAATATAACAGTGATAAAAATTCACTTGCAGATTTTTCTGTAATACGGAAAATAAGTCCTAGATTTGATCCAAAAAATGTCTCGCTGAATTATCCTCTAATATTGAAGATTGGGCATTGCTTTCGTGGTTCATAATTTCAAAGATAGTTTTTCTATCTTGTTCGAATCTTTTTATTTTATATTGTATTGTATATAAAAGTATTGTATATAAAAGTTGTATTGTATATAAAAGTTACTATTATTCATATTTATACTTTTCTGGAGGATATTACATCTATACATATTTTTATTACATGTTTCTATCTCAAAGGAATAATTTTCACTTGATTATCTGCGATTTCTCTACACATATGCATCGACATAGAACCTCTTTATGGCAAGGCACGATGTTATCTGCGCGACAAGGCTAACGAGTTGTCTCCGATCCTTCGCGCTATTGCTCTTTATTACGATTGGTCTCTCCCTCTACCTTTCGCCGACGATCGCGGGAACTTTATCGCGAACCGTTTCCGTATTCCGGACCACCGGGCGAGGGAATTATCTTGGAATAGCACCGGTCGCTGCCTATAACTACCTCGCGAGCGGGATCGACTCGTGCGCGCGGTCGGCTTTGACAACGGTTAAGTATCGCCGTCGGTCTGCGATAACACAAAGGAGCGCGCGATATCTTGTGAAAGAACCGAAAGGAAAATTTACTCTTTCTCTCTTCTTTAGCAAATCTCTTCAGTTCAAAGAATACCTCGATCTGCTTCGAACAATTCCGGATAGTGTAAGATCGGATATCGTACGAGCTAATGGAACAAAACGACAATTTTTTAAAGCGTCGAACCGGCTGATTATAGACATTTTGTGGTCTTGCTTCAGAAATGGAATACAGCATAAGCTGTGCTTAGGCGGTCTATCATTTTTTGTTGACCACATTAAACGGTTACTTTTCAATTTTAGATCATTTCTTTTTCTTTTATGTTTGTGACTTGATCTCACTATCGTTACAAGCGATGTCGTGACCATATAACTTCGTCGAGATATTCGCTTCAAATACGTGATTACAATTTTCTTTCATTCTTCCAATATCGCAAAAAACTGAAATAATCTACGTTCCTCGCGCAACTTTTTGTTCTATAGGAAGTATATATAAAAATCAGAAAGATATAAATGCAAGCTTCTGATTCCTCATTGTATAAAAAACTGCAATCTTTTTTACTTTCCTGGCATGGTTGTGAGACGAGATATAAATTATGTTTATCTTCCCGAACAAAATTTAAAAAAAATAGATATCGGTAGCACAATTAATTATGAAATATGTAAAACGTTGCACTAGCTGAATATATGGGATACCATTTCCGCCGTTGACTGGACGATGGTCGGAGCGAAGGCACATGTACGACGGGTTCATCGACAATTTTATACCCGGTGGTTCATGTGAGGCCAAAGGCTAGCGAGTTATTAGCAGAAAATTACCGAGTGCTCGCGGTCTATTACGCGATACACGCCGAAGTGTCGCGCTTCGTCTCGGGGCCGTGAGAGAGTGATGCTTTGGCTATCCCGTGTACCATGCCAGGAGCACAAGAACACAGCCTGTTTCTACCTACAGCTATCAATCGACACAGGATCCAACTATTCAACAGTGAATATCAGTCATTATCGCGACAACGCGTCGAATGGACACACTGTAGTTATAATTTTTATCTCATCGTATGTATGCCTAGTATCTTTCGAGAATTTTGGAATTACAAGAAATTAGTAAATTATACATCCCCTCTCTGAAAAAAAATTGTTTTAACAAAAATTCTCGTGCAATCTTATCTTCTTTTTACTGTTGAAACGCATCACTGTTTTTAAACGGGCGAACACAAAGGAGGATGTTCACAAAAGAGGCCCACAAAGATGGCCCACAAGAAATTTGCTCTTTTTTGGAGGATATTAAAAAAGA